CTGATCCTAGATACAAAGATTTTAATTAAAAGAATAAGTAAAATTTCTGAACATTGTGTTTTCTGTTTTCGTGTTTTTTCTCTCACATATACTGCTTGATTTTCGCGATGACAATGATCTTCTTTAGCAGTGAAACAAGTGAGAACCGTCCGCGTGCTCTCGTTTACTGGTGATGAAAAATGAGAAGAGATCGACCGGAGAATTAGAATGGCCAGCGGCATCTTGTTACGAACTGTGACCAAAGCTGAGCTGAGTGTGAAGGCAAAGTTCTCTGTGTTCATACTGAACCGCGGTCCTGATCGACGACCGTTCATTTTGTGTTATCAAACGCTGACGCGGAACTCAGAAATGCCTCTATAGTTTACTTTGTAAAAGTGTGCGAAGGTTAGCTTTTCACAAATCCACTGGAACACGTCGATGACAACTGAAGTAAGGGATTACATGAAGATGAGATAATTTCCTTAACGCTGGAGTTGATTGAAAAAAGGCAGCATTAATCACAGAGAAACAAACTCATTCCTTTAAGACATCTGTTTTGGAGAAGTCCATTCAGACTAGACGGAAGCAGCAAGAGCCACAGTCATTATTAAATAGAAAGCCTGCTGAATAGTTTTCATCGTGCCGTTTGTCTTAGGAACAGTGGACGACAATTCGTAAGTTATAAGAGCTGAAGATATGATGATTTGTGATTGATTGTATCGGGAAATATACGAAAATGACATTTGCTCTGTTGCGATGGTAAGGATCTGTGAACGGTGGCGAAATAACGCGGATGGAACTTTGGTAATTTATTCGCCTCTCTTAAGGGAGGATGACGTTTGTCATCCGTTTGTAAGATGAGTCAGTATTTGTCATATAGGTATTCTTATTTTTGAAGTTCATATGTATGTATAATTATAATTTTAGGGTGAAAGATCTTAAAGGCATTGTATTCATTATGCAGTTTTTTTATGAAGCTGTTTATATACTTTCTAATGTCTTCCTTGATTTTGTACCATTTGTAAATTGTCAAACTTTTCAAAGGGCAGTATCGCTCAGCAGCTTACGAAGCACGTTAAGAAGTTGTAAGCGGTTTGTGCGATATGACGATAATCAAGTGTGATTCGATGTGCGATATAATTTGTAAGTAGCATATGTGTGCGGAGCAAACCCTTTAGTATCAAATAGTGCTTTGATGTAGTCAAAAGAATATGAATTTTAATAATGAACTAACTTCTGAAACAGCCTAAAATAAATCTGATATCCGATATTTTATTTCTTACTGTGGTTATTTGGAGTACTTTAGATATAAATCCATGTGTAGGATTTTTAATCTAGGAGACTTCAGTACTCGAATTTTTCGATCACTATCGAATAAGAATCATGCCGCGGACATGTTTTATTGATAAAATATCCAACGGTGCAATTTCGGACCTTTTCAATATCATGTAGTTCTCTGCTGTTCTGGAAGAACGATGGCAACATTAGTTGAGGCGTTCACCAGACATTATGATCTCCATTACACTGAACGCCATCCTGATATCTTGATCGTACGGAAAAAGAGGTGAATAATTTAAGACCTGGTGGGATACTGTAAAAGCTGACGTTGAAGTCTCCTTTGTACCAACAGTGTACGGGGAGAAACGGTGGTAAAAGGACTTGTTAAATTTGGTGGTAGACATTGGGCGTTATCGTCAGCAGTGGAAAGCATCGA